AAATAACATAATTACAATTTATTTCCAAAATAAATCTGGCTCAAAGCCTGGGTAAGAGGCACCATAAAACAGACTCCGTCCTAACTCATAAATAATGAAAATAAAGTCTATTTTCACTGAGTAAATATTGGGGGTACAAGTATAACAGTATGACATCCACACATCTCTGAAGCTTGTAATGAAACGTGTTGGTTAGTTTTACTTACGATAGCCGCATTTCTTGCACCCAGCTCTGATGTTGTCCTTATTAGGTCCTGTAAGATCGTTAAGAGCTTTTTAATGATTTTCATGCAAGTATGCATTCATATTCACATTATTATGTAAACTTCTAATTAAATACATATGCCTTTATAAAATGAACATACTGGTTGAGCTCTATATAAAGTGGTGAAAGGGTGATATAGAATGACCCGCTACTATGCTTTTTAAGCACCCAAAACATACAGTAGGTATACACTCACAGCTACTTTATTAAGTGCACTTTGCTAGTGCAGGGCTGGACTGCATTGTGCCTTCAGACCTGTCTTAATTCTGTATGGCAGAGCTTCAACAAGGTGTTGCAAACATTCCTCAGTGGTTTTGGTCCAGATCGACATGATAGCATCACACAGTTATTGCAGACTTGTCGGCTGAACATTTGTGCCGTGAATCTCCCTAAGGTGCCCTACTAGATTGAGATCAGCCGACTATGGAGACCATCTGAAAACAGTCAACTCATTTTCATCTTCAAGAGACTAGGTTGAGATGATTTGAGTGTTGTAGTGCATTCTCCTGCTGGAAGCAGCTATCAGGAGGCAGGCACACTGTGGTCATCAAGGGGTGGATATGGTTAGAAATGATATTCAGGTAGGCTGTTGCATTACAAAGGGGCCCAAATTGTACCAAAGAAATATCGCCCACACCATGACACTATCATAAGCAGTCTGCACTGTTGATACAGGGCAGTATGGATCCATGTTTTCAAGTTGATTATGCCAAATTTTATTCCTACCGTCTGACAGCTTAAGTGACATCAGACCAGGCAACATTTTTTTCAAATCAGCTATTGTCCAGTTTTGTGCTCTGAGCTCATCTGCGTCAAGGTTCAACATGTACGTTCACATGTGCGTTCAGAGATGCTCTCCTGCATACCTTGATGCAGGAGAGCATCCCCATCAGCTCCAGACCATCTGGCCATTCTCCTCTAACCTCTGGCATTAATAAAGCATTTTTGCTCACAGAACTGTCACTCACTGGATATCAGCTCTTTTTCAGTCCTTCAAAACCCCATAGATTGTTTAGTGTGAGTTTACTGAGTTTCAATACTTTGACCAGCTCATCTGACACTAACAACCACAGCAGACTCAAATTCACATTTCCCCTCATTCTGATCTTCGGTTTGCATTTCAGCAGCTCACCTTAACCATGTCGACCTGACTAAATGCACCAGGTTATTGCTACGTGATTAGCTGATTGATTATTTACTTTAAAAGGCAACAAGGGTAACAGATGTATCTAATAAAGTTACTAATTGAGTGCATATGTTGTGTGATATATTATTATTATTATTATTATTATTATTGTTGTTTTACTCTCTCTACTCAACCAAAAAGGAGATAAGCCTAATGCTAGTTACAAGAGCTAATCATAACAAAAAGTACTAAAATCGAATCCATGAGTGTTTACATGGAGTATCTCGACATTTACAAGTACTGTGCTTTACGCTATTCTGTACATCAACCGCAATGTAGCCCCGTGTGCTAAACGTAGCCAAGTTTCTCGCTGGGTTAGTCATTGCACCGACTTCACTTCAAAGGGTTTGTGTTCTTAAAATACGTTAAGCTAACGTAAACGTAAGCCCCACTTTGTGTTACCAATGCGTTAGTTACCCTGTCAGCTCTTACCATTCCAGCGAAAACTACATGAATAATACAATAGAAACTGCGAAGATAAGTAAGTTACACATTTGAAATATAATTCCCACCTGGTACAGCCATCACTGTGTCCACAATAAAGCCCGCAAACAGCAAAACTTAGTATTGTTATAGCGCGAATCAGCCAACAGCGTCCTCACACCAAATACCGTCGACAGGAAACACTTGTTCTATAAACTACCGCGTTCCCCCTGCTTATGTTCGTGTATTTTTTTCTTACTGACGGCAGGGAAACCAAACTAGTGGCGCATTATCGCCGCCCGACGGAAAGGAGTTGGAGCAGCAGACTGTGTGACATATTTTCACAAGGATTTCTTGTGGAAAAAAACAAGAAAAAATATAGAAAAGTGAATAATCTAAATATAATGTTCTATTGTCTTCAATGTTTACACTTACATAAGCTATGAATAATCTGCCATTGTCAGACCCTGGTGACGCTATAACAAAAAACCCCTGAAATATTTGTGCCATGCATGACTGCTTTGCCAGTAAAGTCAGCTGTGGTTTTTGTAAGGGGTTAATTGCAGGCAGCTAGAGTCGGACTGGCAGATGGAAAATGTTGACAGATGCATGGCCCCCAGACATGCTCTCATCATCATGTCTGTGGCTGTGACACAAATGCACGGACGCACATACACGAAAACAATCTCAGTCCTGATCTTTGATGATGACACATGCTTTAGCGTGGGCTAGTTTTAATTATGTGATTTACCTTGTTTACTATTGAAGTGATGTTCCTTTCAACTACACATATGATGCCTCACGGCTCTGAAGTTCAGCCCAGTCAAAGAACTTTTGTACCTCATTTTTATTATTATTAGTTTTTTTTAATTTGGAAAATATAGACAAAAGCAAGATATTTAAAGAAAATAATATAACTAAAATAAAATTATAAATGCTAAAAAATACTATGAAATGAGCCCCCAAACTGAAACTGTTGTTACTTACAGTAACTTTGTCTGTTTTAAGTTTTACTACAAAAATTGGCTCATTTGAATTGAGCTTCATAGATATTTCCTGTAGCTTGTTGTGTGAAGAACTCAATTTCTTCACACTTGTTCTGCTAGTTGTTATTTACAGTAAAAACTAGCAGAAATTATGATCCATGAACTGCATGACCCAAGTCCAATTAGCTTAATCATAAACTAAAGGAAATAAAACAGATTCTAGAGACTTCTAAAAACAACTTCTTATTATGTAATTTTCAACCTCAAATTAGTTAGTATTTAGCATTTCTGACCACCTGGATTTAGCTTCTATAGGCACAGGTTTCCAAGAATAACTCAAATGAAAACCGCAGTCGAAAGAGAGCCAATAACACAAAAAGCAGTTAAGGATTTCCAAAATGAGTACAGGAAAGCTGGAAATGAATTTGCCCCATTTAACTTCACACTATTTTCAACTGGGCTGTGGCTAAAAATTCCCCGGTCCTTGTTGATTACATATCAGATTGAATTAGCAAATACATACATAGAATACATAGAAATAGCTTCTTTGGTGTGTGTGTGTGTGTGTGTGTGGGGGGGGGGGGTTACTTTGAAGTATGCCATTAACAAATAAGCACTAAATGCATACAATGGGCAATATTGAGAGCTGAATATGTACATTAACCCGTTGGAAAGACTTTTAAATCCAGAAACCAAATTTAACAAGTACTGAAGATGAGAAGGGCGAGGAAATTCTACACTGAAAAACACAATATACTGTAGGTGTGTAGTACTCCAGTTCTCCTACTAAAACTGGAAAATGTTTTGCAATAATAAAACGGGAATTCTTTTTGGGGAAACAAGATTACACTTGTGGTCAAAAGTTTACACACAATTACCATGGGGATGAATGTGTTTTCTCTATTACACATAGGATCGAAAGTAAAGTAAAGGAGGGGCTATGCGCTTAGCTGCTGTTCTCTGGCAGGTAGCTCCATGCCCTCCTGGGTTTTAAATGCACCTTGGAACACACATGCATCAATACTACATATGAGTGGGCGGAGGGAGGTTTGGAGTCTTCACACACCCCGTTCTCTGTTGCCTGTTGGGGCGGGGGGGCTGGGAGGAGGAGTTGGCTGTCCGATTGGGGTCTGGAATGTGGGGCCTCCCTGCTGCTGCGGAGTCGGGAGCGGTCTGCTTCTCTCCACCCCAGGGAAGAGGGTAACACTACCTGGGTCTGTCATGGTCTGCGGTGGGTGGCTGGAATTTCCATAAGGCTCCTGAACCTACCTGGGATCCGCCCCTGGGCAGGGCCACCTCCTCCACCTCCTCCAGCTCCTGCACACCCTTGCAGGCAATCAAGCCAGAGGGATTTAAGCCACACGATGATGTTCATTCACTACCAGTTCGTCATCAACCCATTTGCTGGAGTCACTTTGGCTCACGCGCCACCTCCAGACTCAGGATACCAAGCAATCATTTTGAAAATCACTCTGTGCCTCACATGCCTGCCCTCCTGCCATCACACTCCATCTGAAGACCCTGCATCTCAGGTCAGCCTTGCCACGCCACTCAGCTCCCTGGATTCTCATCACCCCCCCTCTCAACACTCTGCGTCCCCTACTGCAAGTAAGGACTGCTATACGTACAACTTACCACTTCAGAGCTACCTCCACTACCTCCATAACTCCACTGTCCTCTCTCTTCAGTGTGACTGTTCCTTGCTCAGCTCCACTCTGCATCTAGCCCTCGCCCTAGCCACATTTCCCAGGCCACGCCATGTCAAACTCCACATCTGGTTGTTTTTTGCCCTTGCTGCGTTTCTAGCGCTTAAACCTAATAAATTATTGTTACACCATCTGCTGTCTCTGCTCTGGGTTTCTGCGCCTGAGTCCTGTTCAGTACAGAACACTCGGTCCCGTGACAGTATGAACTTGCCAGAATATGGACTCGGCAGACCCAGTACGTGCAACAGTCTCCAAGCAGGGAGCCAGTTTAGGGGCTCATGAGCAAGCGTTGCAGGCCCTCGACACCCGGTGCCAAGCCATAGACTCAGGCTAAGATCTTAGCTTCCCTGCAGGAAATTCAGTCAGCTCTTTCCACTACTCCATACCCGTCCTCGGCGTGTCCTGCACCCGTGGTAGAACCTCCCCAGTCTTCCCCAGCTCAGGCCACTCCTTCAGGCTCAGTTTTCCGCGATGCTGCATTCCCAGAACCCGAGCCTTACTCCGGGGAGCAGTGTCGCTGTACTGCCTTTCTACTAGAATGTTCTCTCTCATTCACGTATTCTCCCCGTTCTTTTGCTAGTGATTCAGCTCGGGTAGCATATCTGGTGGCTAAGCTTCAGCCTATGCAAATCGGCCAGTCTCGTCTCACACCAGAGGAGAAAGAGCGACGGCTTCGGTCGGGTGCATGTTTTTACTGTGGCTCAGTGGAGCATAGGTTAGCACAGTGCCCGGTTTGGCCAAAAGGCTCTGCCCGCTGGTAATTTCGGGGATACAGGTGGGCGGATCCTCTTACAGTTCCAAACCCCAGTTAATTCTACCAGTCACCCTTTGTCTAGATCAGGTTTCTCACCCTCTCCACGCTCTCGTTGATTCTGGAGCAGAGCAAAATTTAATTGATTTAGCTATCGCTAGACGCCTTCAGTTGCCACTCAAAAAAATTGATCCCCCCATCCCTTTTACTGCATTGAACAATCAAATATTCTCTCAGATAACCCATCAGGCCGGCCCCGTAACCCTTGTCACCTCTGGAAACCACCGTGAAGCCATTACTTTGTTCACCTTCTCCTCTCCTGATTCACCACTCATCTTAGGCTACCCCTGGCTAAAGAAACACAACCCTCACATAGACTGGTCTGGGAGTAAATTGCTAATTGGAGCCTTTTTTGTCTAGTCCACTGCCTCACGTCCGCCCTAACGCCAGGTTCCCCTGACACTAACACCTCAGACACAGATCCCGTCGACCTCACCCTCATCCCACCTGAGTATCATGACCTCCAAGAAGTTTTCAGTAAACACAAAGCAACTTGGTCAACGATATGCTCCGTGATTTCCTGAGCCGGTTTGTCTTTGTTTATCTAGATGACATACTCATTTTTTTCAAAACCCCCCAGGAACACCATGTCCACATCCGAGCAGTCTTCCAACGTCTCCTGGAAAACCGACTTTATGTCAAAGCCGAGAAATGTGAGTTTCGTGCACAATCCGTCACCTTTCTTGGCTATATACTCGCAGGGGGGCAGGTGAAGACTGATCCAGCCAATTCTGGAGTGGCCCACGCCCACGTCACGCAAGCACCTACAACATTTCCTTGGCTTTGCCAATCTCTACCGGAGGTTTATTCACAACTACAGCCAGGTAGCCACTCATCTCACTACACTCACATCCACCAAAACACAGTTCATCTGGACACCTGAATCTGAGGCAGCATTCAGTAGACTCAAACGACTATTTACCTCAGCTCCAGTGTTGTGTCACCCAGACCACTCCAAGCCATTCGTTCTGGAGGCTGACTCGTCCAATGTTGGCGTCGGAGCCGTCCTCTCACAGCATTCAGGACCCAAGGCCAAGTTACACCCATACGCTTTTTTTTTT